CTCACAGATTATGGGGTTTATTAGGGAAGCACCACAGGCTACAATTAAAGTTCAGGAAAAATGCTCAGTCTCTCTCCCAGCCCGCCGTCCCTCGGCCAACAGTCTCTTTCCCAGCAGTACTGTTCCCTCGGTGTCTCACTCAACAATACATGTCTCTTGCGTCTCTTTCCCAGCAGCACGTGTCTCTTCCAGCAGCACGTGTTCCTCAACCAGCAGTCAAAGAGAGTTCTGCCCCTAGGAGGCCTCCTTTTGAGCCTGGCAGAGTGGTCAAACTAGCCAATTATAGCATCAGAACTCTAAGCACCTGAGAGAGAGTGGGAACCTCCCAGAACATTGTATTATGCCTAGCCCAACAGAAGTAACCCAGGTGGGCGACTTTAAAATCAGGATCTCCTCAGTTGCTAATAGCAATTCCCACCTTGGTGTTTACAAAGACTTACGGGTAGCAAAGCCACACTAAGTAATTTACTACACCGCACTAAGTGACAAAGTTTGTAGTAGGATAAATTATTAGATTATAAATTTGAGTCACTTTTTGAAGTTTCACAAGAACATCCACATGAAAATGTCTAAAAGTTGGAGATATGAGTCCAGTTTTCCAAGGGAAATGATATACAGAATTACACATTTGAAATCATTTATCTAAAATTAATAATTCATGCTGTGGATAAATTTCCTAACCTAAGAGCATGAGAAAATGATCACAAGTATGTGGTGGAATCTTCAGAAACATGTGGTTTTGAAATCACAGAAAAAGACTGGGGAGTAGTCAGAGTTAGAACTCTGTGTAACCTTTGAAGCCTAATTTTTTTTTTTTTTTTTTTTTGAGATCCAACATGGCAATCACTGGGGATGCAGGGAGAATAAGGTGTAAATCCCACCTGCTCTTTTGGAGCTCATAGTCAATAAAGAAGAAATATTAAACATAAATTCTTATGCTTTTTCTCCTTATTCTTGCTGAAAATTGACTAGTATATTTGGTAATTAAAATGACACTTCTGGCCTTCCAGAGTATAATTTAGCAGAAACCAAGTTTGAGTGAAAACAGATGACAAGCAAGTAAGGGCTTTAAGATTTGTCTTTAAATTTTTACTTTGGAAAGCAGATATCTAGGCCCTAATTAGGAGCTCTCGTGGCATAGTACCTAAGGCACTTGACTGCTAACCAGAAGGCTGGCAGTTCAAACCCACCACCACTCCTTGAAAGGAAGGTTGGGTAATCTACTTCTGTAGTGATACAGCCTTGGAAACCCAAGGAGGGGTTGCTGTGAGTTGGGTCCAACTCGATGGCACATAACAACAACGGACCCTAATTGGAAGTAATCATCACAGATGTGCACAGATTTTTCTTTTTTTTTTTTTGGTTAAGTTAAGTATGCAGGAGGAGCCTGTGGAAAGGGAGTAGTAACTGGAGATACTGAAATGATGGGGCAATAAAGGAATGAGGAAGGGCCATAGGAAATTTGTTGAGGGTAGTTTGTTTGGGATCAAGTTACTTTGAAAATAAGAAAGTACCTTTTCACTTAGAAAGTAGAAAGGATGAGTAGCAAAAAGAGTGGTCATGATTTTTCTTGTATATCAAGGTATCTCTTGAAATTGGAGAAAGAAGAATGAAATTAGAGGCCTGAGGAAGTAAAGTGGTTGAGGTTCAAAATGTTGTTATGTGCCGTCGAGTCACCCCCAACTCATAGTGACCCCTCCTTGGGTTTCCGAGGCAGTATCATTATGGAAGTAGATTGCCCAACCTTCCTTCTGAGGAGTGGTGGTGGGTTTGAACCGCCAGCCTTCTGGTTAGCAGTCAAGTGCCTTAGGTACTACGCTACCAGAACTCCTAAGGTTCAGAATAGCGTGTGGCTGTTAGGTTAAGGAATCAATCGTATGAATATAATTGAGACAAAGAATGTCCAGTTGATAGCATAGCATCATTCCACTTCATGTTATAGTGAAACTTTCCTTATTATGCAGAAGTTAATTCATAAAGTCTGGTGGGGGGTGGAAGTGTTGTTTCTTTTTTAAAAAACAAAGAAACTTATTTTATCTGCAAGAGGGCAAAAAATAGGCATCGCAATTTTGGGCTGATTTCTAGGACATATAGGTCCCAGGATTTGGTTTCAAATATTTAATAAAACAAAGTTTTGTTTTGTTTTGATGCTTTATTTATATTACTTAACTTTTCATTAAATTCAGTAGTAAGTTTTTGTTATTTAAAATTTAAGTACTTCTCATGTAAGACAATTTCTGTTTCAGTTTCCAGTCGGTCGTATCCACAGGCACTTGAAGACTCGTACCACAAGCCATGGAAGGGTTGGTGCCACTGCTGCAGTATACAGTGCTGCCATTCTGGAGTATCTTACTGCTGAGGTTTGTTGAGGGGGAAACATCTTTTATATATGTTGTTTTGGTTACCTAGAGCCACTCAAACAGACATACCACAAACATATGGCTTTAGCAATAGAGATTTGTTCTCTTACAGTTTAGGAGGCTAGAAGTCTGAGTTCACAGTGCCAGCTCTAGGGGTCTGGGTGAAAGCCCCTTTACCTTGGGCTTCAGCTCTGCCCACTGGAACTAGAGGCTTCTCTTCATTCAGGCAGATGCTGTCTGCTGAGGCTAACAAGCCCAAGGTTGGCAAATAAAATGGCACAGTCCCAGGATTAACACACAACATGGCAGGCTGCTGCTTCAAGTTTAGTAACAATCCTAAGCTCAGCAGATAACATGGCACGCTGCTCAGTAAAGGACTCGGCTACATGAAGGGTCCAAGCATGCTAAGAAACTGCAGACCATTCCCAAACCTTCTCCTTATGTACTGGAAGCAGACCGATTCCCTAAGGCAAATACTCAGCTGTTCCAGTAGATTCTACCATGGAGTTGATTTCTAGTCTCATCATAGGGAATAACTACCACCAGCTGCCCAGCCACTCAAAACCAGGCCCATCCAAGTTGACACATAACCTTAACTACCGCATATGTGAATTCCAGACATGTTAGACTAAATGGCTAAAACCCACAGATCGCATTTCAAAAATAGCATGCGTGCTAGTTGATTTACATTCATAGTGGCTTTAGGTATATCTTCTTGGCCTCTTACCCAGCACCAATGTCAAAAGTTAAAACAGAGGTTTTCAAAAAACCATGGTTTTACATGATCTGACAAATGTGTAAAATGATTTCAGTACTATAGTATAATTTAAATGAATTCTTAAATATGCATATAATCAATAGCTGATACTTGTGAAGTTAGTAACATAACCTGTAAGTTACAAAACTTTGAGGTGGGGTAGCGATTTGCCAGTGTGATACATTTAAAGATCAAACATATGTAATGATACAAAAAGTTAAAAAGACCTAATCCCTCTCTTTTTCTTCATGATTGTATATTCAAAATGCTCTATCTTACTCAGTTGACATTAAGAAGATTAATTGAGCAGCTGTTCTTTAATTCTTGCATTCTGGACCATCACTTCCCTCTTCCCTAAGGAAAATAAATGGAAAACCATGAAACTCCTTAACCTCCATTCTAGGCAAGGGAAATAATTTCAATTGTAAGCAAGTCAAGTGGTAGAGATAGCCAGCCTGTTTCTACAGGTTTCTTACTCTGTTTCTACAACAGAGGAAGGTTCTTATTAGGGAAAGATACAGTTATGTGCTAGGATGAAGAATTTCAATTTAATTTATATACTTTCATTAACACCATTTCATTAAACTTACCAAGTTATTTGTGCCATTGAACATTTAACATTGAATCACAGTTACTTACACATTGGTATGTCACGAGCAAAGCGTTTTGTGTTGGCACTATAGTAATACTTAACCTTTTTTCCCATTTCTTTATTAGCCTTAACCAGTTTTTGTTTAGATGCAGACTTTTAAAAATTTTTTCATTGTGCTTTGGGTGCACATTTACAGAGCAGAATTTGTTTTACATTCAACAGTTCATGTACATTTGGTTTAAAAAAAAAAAACCAAACCCACTGCCGTTGAGTTGGATCTGACTTGTAGTGACCTCTCCTTGGGTTTCCAAGGTGGTATCACCACAGAAGTAGATTGCCCAATCTGCCTTTCAGGGAGTGGCTGGGAGGTTTCAGTCGCCAGCCTTCTGGTTAGCTGTCAAATGCCTTAGACACTACGCAACCAGAGTGCATTTTTTTTTTTTTTTAAATTTTTATTGTGTGTTGGGTGAAAGTTTATAAAGCAAATTTCACTTTCCGTACAGCAGCTCACATATACTTTTCTTTCAAGACATTGACTACAATTTATCACAATGCAACAGCTCCCCTCCCATTTCTTCCCCATACGTGGTACTTCTCTGTGTACTCCTCTCCACTCCTGCTCCCTGAGCCATCTCCCTCTGCATACACAGTCCTTCTGTTCTTCTGTGATTGATCTCTCCAGGGAGTGTATCTAACTAATGTGAATGTTCAACTCATATGCCTGTCTTTTTGGCTGGAAGCCACAGGAGTGGGTTTAATTCCAGATCTGAAGGGCAACTAGGGGCTGTAGTCTCAGTGGTTTTATCAGTCTCTATCAGAGCAGCAAACCTGGTCCTTTTTTTTTTTTCTTTTTATTAAATGATTTTAAGTTTTGTTCCACATTGTTCTCCCATTCTATCCAAGATCTCCTACATAGATCCCCCTCCAAGTGGTTAACAGTGATAGCTGGGCGCCATCTAATTCTTCTGGTCTCGTACTTGTATAGGCTGAGGATCTCATGGTATACCAGTCACTTGGACTAACTGTTTCCACGCATCTTAGATTTTCTTCATTATTCTTTGTTCTGGATGAGGAGAGACCCATCGTTGTATCTAGATAGCTGATTGCAAGCTTGTAAGATCCCAGTTGCTACTCGCCAAAGTAGGATGTGGAACAATGTTTTTGTGTAGTATGTTACGCCAATTGAGCTTGATGTCCCCTGCGACTGTGGTCCCAAGCCCACAGGTCCAGCTACTCGCTCCCTCTAGGTAGCTGGCTGTGGCCAAGAAGTGACTACAACTTTGTCCCTTGTCAGCTCTACTATATACCTAGGAATTTTTACAGAACATACAAGTACACTTGTAGAATCATTGTCTGCCAACCCTAAACATGGTCTTGGGCACACTACCCTCTGCATAAACATACCTAATAGTTCAGCCTATCCACCCATTTATCCACCCGTAGATCAATGATTCCCTTCACTGACCACACAGTACTGTATGTGCAGAACAGTTCATCTTTTGTTGTCTGTACCTCCTATGCACCTCTATGTCTCCCTCTTCCCCAGAGCCACTGTATTAATCAGTCACACTTGGTACATTGCCCTTCTCTTCACCCAAATCAGTACTTGTGTCTACCTATCTAACAGTGTTCTCTCCCTTCCCCTCTCACTCCTGGTAACCAACAAAGAAAATTTCCTTCCGTGTAGAGACCTTTCCTTGACTTTTACAATAACAGACTAATACAATATTTGTCCCTCTGTGATTGACTTATTTCATTCAGCATAATGGCCTCCAGATTCATCCTCGTTATGTGGTGTTTTGCAGATTCTACATTATTCTTTAGGGTTGCATAGTGTTCCATTGTGTGTATGTACCATAGTTTAGTTGGTTATACATTCTTCTGTTGATGGGCCCTGTTCTGGTTACCTAGTGCCGCTCTGACAAAAATAAATCACAAATGGGATGGCTTGAACAAACAGGAGTTTATTCTCTTAGAGTTTGGGAGGCTAGAAGTACAAGTTCAAAGTGCCAGGTTCTAGGGGCTGTGTGAAAGCCCATCGACCTTGGGCTTCGGCTCTGCCTCTTGCTCCTGGCCCACTGAAGCTATAGGCATCTCCACTCGGGTAGCTACTGACTGCTGAGGCTAACAAGCCCAAGGTCGACAAATAAAATGGCACAGTCCCAAGGTTAAAAAACAACACGGCAGGCCATTGATTCAAATCCACTGAAAGTTCCAGGATCAGCAGAGCATGGCAGCCTGTTGAAAAACACCATGGCTACATGCAGGGTTCAAGTATGCCATAAGCTGGAGACCATCCCCAAAGCTGTTTCTTATATACAGAAAGCAGACCACATACCCAAAGCAGCTACTCAGCTGCTCCAGTAGATTCCACCATGGGGTTAATTACCAATCTCAACCATGGAGAATAACTCCATTCAGCTGCCCAACCACTCAACCAGGTCCAGCCAAGTTGACACACAAATGTACCCACCACAGGCACCTAGGCTGTTTCCATCTCTTTGCTGTTGTAAATAGTGCTGCGATGAACATAGGTGTGCATACATCTGTTCTTGTCCTGACTCTCACTTCTTTAAGATATATACCTAGTAATGGAATTGCTGGGTCAAATGGTATTTCTAATTCCAACTTTTTAAGGAACCGCTATACTGCTTTCCACAGTGGTTGTATCGTTTGACAGGCCCACCAGCAGTGTATGAGAGTTTCGATCTCTCCATCCTTACCAGCATTTGTTATTTTCTGTTTTGTTGAACTTTGCTACTAGTGCTGGAGCAAGATGGTATCTCATTGTTGTTTTGATTTGCATCTCTCTGATAGCTAATGACCGTGAGCATTTCTTCATATGTTTGTTGGCCGCTTGAATATCCTTGGTGAAGTATCTATTCATATCTTCTGCCCATGTTTAAATTGGATTCTTTGTCTTTTTGTTGTTGAGGTATTAGAGTTTTCTATAAATTCTAAAAGTAAGTAAGTCTCTTGTCAGATATGTTATTGCCGAATATTATTTTCCAGTCTGCAGTTTCTCTTTTGAGTCTTTTGGAGAAGTCTTTGGAAGCATATAAAATTTGAATTTTTAGAAGGTCTCATTTATCTAGTTTATCTTCAGCTGTTTGTGCATTTTCAGTTATGCTTGATAGTCTATTTCTCCCATATATTAGGGCCCCTAAATTTGCCTGTAGTTTTTCCTTGAGGAACTTTACAGTTTGAGGTTTCACATTTAAGTCTTTGATCCATCTAGAGTTAGTTTTTGGGTATGGTGTGAGGTACAGATCTTGTTTCATTTATCTGCAAGTGGATATCCAGTTTGCCCAGCACCATTTATTAAACAGCCTCCTCCCTGCTTAATGGATTTCAGCCTTTTGTCAAGAATCAGCTGACCATAGGTCAGTGGATCTATTTCTGGGTTCTCAATTCTATTCCAGTGGTCTATGTGTCTGTCATTGTACTAGTACCAGGCTGTATAGTAGGTTTTAAGATCTGAGAGTGTAAGACCTCCTACTGTGTTGTTCTTCTTCAGTAATGCTTTGCTTGAGGTCTCTTTCCTTTCCATAAAGTTAGTGATTGCTTTTTCCATATCCTTAAAAAATGTTGATGAGGTCTAGCTTGGCCTTGCTTTGAATATATAGATTGCTTTGGCTAGAATTGACATTTTCACAATGTTCAATCTTCCTATCCATGAGCATGGGATGTTCTTCCATTTATGTAGATCTCATATGGTTTCTTGAAGTAGTTTTTTATAGTTTTCTTTTTAGAGGTCTTTTGTGTCCCTAGTAAGATTTATTCCCAAGTATTTTATATTTTTGGTAGCTATTATAAACAGTATTGGTTTCCTTATTTCTTTTTCAGCAATCTCTTTGCTGGTATAGAGGAATCCAACTGACTTTTGGATGTTGATCTTCTATCCTGCCACGATGCTAAATCTCTTGATTAGTTCCAGTAGATTTTTGATGAGTCTCTTGGGTTTTCTAGGTATAGGATCATATCATCAGCAAATAGGGATGGTTTGATTTTTCTTCCTTACCAATTTAGATGCCTTTGATTTCCCTGTCTTGCCTTATTGTCCTGGCTGGGACTTCCAATACAATGTTGAATAGAAGTGGTGATAGAGGGCATCCTTGTCTGGTTTCTGTCCCCAAGAGGAATTGTTTCATTCTCTTCTCCATTGAGAATAATGTTGGCTGTTGTTTTTGCATATATGCCTTTTATTATGTTGAAGAATGTCCCTTGTATTCCTGTTTTGCTGAGACCATCAATTGCTCTTATGGAAGTTCAAGCTGAAGCTGAAGAAAATTTTAAAAAGTTCTCAAGAACCAAAATACGGCCTTTTGTATTTCACATCTAAATTTAGAGAGCATCGCAAGAACAGATTAGATCCGTTAAACACTTATGAGTGAAGACCAGACAGGTTATGGGAGGACATCATACATGAATGAAGAAAGCAAAAGTTCGTTAAAAATACGAAAAAGAAAGAAAAGACCAAAATGGATGTCAGAGGAAACTCTGAAACTTGTTCTTGATTGGAAAATAATGTAATGAAAGTAAAAGAGCTGAACAAGGTTCCAAAAGGTGGCTCAGGAAGCCAAAGTAGAGTATCTATGTTAAGCCATTTTATTTTATTTATTTATTTTGAGATTTGGAATCCCTTCCAGTGTTTATTTTCAGCCTGTAGGTGTTTTGTTTTGCTTTTTTTTTAATTGTGCTTTAGGTACAAGTTTACAGAGCATAGTTTGTTTTATTTACATTCAACATTTCATGTATGTTTGGTGTCATTCCCCAGTTACCATCCCCAACCCTAACCCACTTTCCTCCTCTCCCTGCCCAGTAACACAAACACACACACACCCCTACCTGTGCCCCTCATAGTTATGCACTCCTGTGTGTCCTACATTTCCTACATGCGAATGTTACCCCTCTGGGCAAACATTCATTTTAAGAAGTACACATGTGTTACATTGTGGGAAATAGCAGTCAATGTCATGAGACAAAATATATGTGAGCTTCTGTATGGAAAGTGAATTTGCTCTGTAAACTTTCACCCAAATCACAATAAAAGTTTTTTTAAAAAAAGACTTCTTTAAAGTGTTCAAGATGTAACTTTAAGAAGTAAGGTGTGTCTGACTCAAGCCATGGTATTTTCAGTTGCTTCATAAGCATGTGGAAGTTAGGACAATGAATAAGGAAGATCCCAGAAGAATTGATGCCTTTGGATTAAGGTGTAGGGAAAGAATATTGACCATACCATGGACTAGTAGAAGATTGAACAAATCTGTCTTGGAAGAAGTACAGTTGGGATGCTCCTAAGAAGCAAGGATGGTGAAACTTTGCCTCTCTTGCATTGGTCATGTTATCAGAAGGGACCAGTCCATGGAGGATATTGTACTTGGTAAAGTAGAGGGTCAGTGAAAAAGAGGAAGACTCTCAAGAGATAGGTTGACACAGTGGCTGCAACAATGGCCTAAAACATAGCAGTGATTGTGAAGGATGGCATAGGACCAGGGCAGTGTTTATTCTGTTGCACATAGGGTTGCTCTGAGTTGGAACCAACTTGACAGCACCTGACAGGATTATTTTTATAAGGCCCAGTGATATTAAAAATTGTTCATAAGGATGTAAAAATTGTTATAATTACATTTTTTGAAATTACAAGTATTAAGAATTCAATTTCAGCCATTAAGGGATATGCAAAAATAGAATATATGAATATAAAAATATGTGATTTTTCTAAACATTCACATTTAGTATTCTCCCTTGTTTTTATCTTTAATTTCTTTCTGTATCATAATAAGTTTTTGAGCAAGTTTTTAGTTCTCTTTGAGAGAACGGATACAAGAGGGGTCAAGTGAAATAATGTACTTCTGAGAGTAGAAAGCATTATATGAGATAGAAAAAATGTGTATTATGTATATATGTGTGTGTTTGTGTATGTTTTGTATGTTGCATGTATGGATACCATAGTGATCTTTTTTGCTGTAATTGGGATTATACATTGAATTCTTAAAAACTACGTCTTTTATTATTTTATGGATGCTGTTTGTAGGTGCTGGAGTTGGCAGGTAATGCTTCTAAGGATCTCAAAGTAAAACGTATCACTCCACGTCACTTACAGCTTGCAATCCGTGGTGATGAGGAGTTGGATTCTCTTATCAAAGCTACCATAGCTGGGGGTGGTATGTATTAACCTTTTGAGCCTAGAGTATTATTGGTCTTTCTAACTAACGTATAATTCAGATCAGTGATCAATTTGAATGGCTAACCAAGTATATAAACTTTTAATTCTCTTAAGTCTTTTAAGATTCTGTTAAGTCTATTATGATTCTAGGCCTCTTCATTATATCTAAATAGATGTTTCTTTTCCTTGTAGCTGTATATAAAGCTTTTTTTATTTTTAGAAGTTTTTTGCCTAAATTTCTTAGGATATTTAAAGCCTGATGTTTAAAATACCTTTTTAAGCTATGTATGAAAAATGACTGAAAAGTTGCTTAGCATAATATCCTTGAAAAGGATGAGATTATTCAAATGGATCTGGATTAGAGAAGGTGATAAGATTTAAACTGGTGGTTCGTGATCCCTCTTCTGAAAAATGCACATACCTTCACATACAGTTTTAGAGGGTTTCACGGACTGCTCTGGGGGAGAGAGGAGGAACTTGGTGTAGATACTTCAGCAGGGTCAGAATGTGAAAATGAAATTTTATTTTATTCTTTATTCATTTTATTCTTTGTATAATTACTCTTTTTGCTTGAGGCACTAAACTGTTAAGACTATAAAAGTTGATAATAATACTATTTTTATCTCATTCTAGGTGTGATCCCTCACATCCACAAATCTCTGATTGGAAAGAAGGGACAGCAGAAAACTGCTTAGAAAGTTGTTTAACCAGCCCTCTTCCTCCCTGTCATTGTACTGTAACTGGGACAGAAGAATAATGGGGATATGTGGAATTTTTAAAACCGTTAAGTGGTAAAGCATAGACAGTTGCCATAGACATGATACAAGAAACATTTATATGTTCTTAGGTTCAGAGTTTGATAAAAGTACCTTTTCATGTGGCAACAATTGTGTATTGATTGGCTAGGTTTCCTCCCATGTGTTTTTTACAAAAAATGGAATTGATAAACCGTTTTTTACAAAATTAATTTGTCTCAAAACTGTTCTGTTTGTGATGTACTGGAAAAATTTTATTCAGACTTTGAAATTGTTTTAAATCTCGAATTGGTTATCATATGCTTAGAATAATAATCTTCAAACATATATTGGAAATATAGCTTCATCGTGACATAATACTATAATTCACTGAATCTAAGATGCTGTCAGTTGTAATATGCACCATTATTTTATATGCCCCTAAGAAAGAAAAACTCTTCCAATTAAAGCATGATATGCCATCAATTATGAGATGACATTCCCAATTTCAGAGATGTTGGAATGTGAGAAAATATGCATTTAGGATGGATGAGTTAAGACAGCAAACTTACTTGATTTATTTATTGAGCACTTAATCATGTGCCAGGTCCTGTGCTAAATATTTTACATGCTTTTTCTCATACCAATGAATTAACACACACACCCCCAATTTAATAGATACAGATGATCTGCGGCTTATAGAAACTAAGTGATTTATTAAAGGGAGAAAAAAAATTTGAGCTAGTAACTAGAAAATGGCAGAGCTAGGAGTTAGATCTGGATTTGTCTTAACTTCAGAGCCTACCTGGAGTTGAAGTCAAATTAATCAGTTTTCCACTTTCGATTTAAAATTCTAAATATTTAGTGGACTTGCAGAAATTTGAATTCTATAAATATGGACTTAATTATGTATTTGAGAGGAATCAAAAAATGTCCTTTCCATGTCGTCTCAAGTATGTATTAACTTATGGAGCTGCATTCACTTGTAATCATTTTTGCTCACAGTTCTTTAGATTTGCATTTTCATCTGTTTCTAAAGATTTGACCAGTTATATTCCTATTGCTGTTTATGAATACACATTTTATATTTTCACTTACTACTGTCTTTATTTCCTGGTGGCGTAGTGGCTAAGGCGTTTGACTGCTAACCAGAAGGCTGGCAGTTCAAACCCAACAGCCACTCCTCGGAAGGAAGGTTGGGCACTCTGCTTCCGTAATGATACCACCTTGGAAACCCAAGGAGGGGTCGCTACAAGTTAGATCCGACTCGACGGCAGTGTTCGGTTGGTTGGTTTTAGAATTTTAAAACTTAGTTCTGTTGGTAGTCTTTGACCTTTGAAGTAAATTTTTAGAAACATCCTGACAGTCAGCTTGTGTTGTGAAGAAGTACAGATGTTTTACTGCACTGTCACTGGGATGTCTGTGTCTTCTATTGGGTCTTATTTAGACAAGCTGCTTTTTTTTTACCCAGCCAATCTAAAATAGCATTAAGACATAATTTTTTCCCGTCTGTAGTAGTAGTAAATAATTTATGCAGTCTTTTAGAATTCATTTTTCCTTTGTCCACTTCTAAGTAGCTGTTACAGGATTTAATTGAGCAAGTATATACCAGTTAATAGTCCATCAGAGAATTCTATTTTTCTGCCTGGGAGTCCTCCTCATTAAAGAAGGAAATTTTTTAATGTTTTATTATACAGTACTATCAAAATTGTCATCTTAAAAAGCTTATTTTATTATAGAAAATTTCAAAAATACACAAAAAAGAAAAGTAATGGACCTTCATATACCCTCTAATCTCCCTCTTCCTACCCTCCTGCCAGTGGTTAGTTTGAATCCCATCCTGGCATATTTCCATGTGTACATACTTCAGTATGAGGTACTCTTTAGAACATGACCAATAGTGCCCATAATACTCCTTAAAAAAAATGTTTATATCAAATATCTAGTCAGTATTTGAATTTCCCTTGTAGTTCAATTTTTATTTTAAAATTGGTTTCTTTGAATCAGGATCCAGACAAAATCAACACTTGAATTTGATTAGTATCTTTTAAGTTCCTTTTTAACCTGTAAAGTTTCTCTTTATGTTTTTGTTGTAATTTAATTTTTGAAGAAACTGCATTGTTTGTCCTATAGAATTGTCCCTCTGTTGATTTTACTGAATGCATTCTCATATCATTTAAATTTCCTTTGAACTGATAATGAGCTCTAAAGTGTATTTTTCTGTTTAGCAAAAAATAATTCATAGGCGAGGTTATATACTTCCTATTGCATGACATCAAGAGACACATAATGCCTTCTGTGTCTCATGTTGTAATGGTGAGGTTAATGAGTACATTTGGATATTGTCAGCCCAATCCATCAATTATAAAGTTCTCTCTCCGCTTTTCCCTAATGGTTTTAGCTACTGTTAATGATCATTACGTAGTATTCTGTTAGGGGTTATAAATTGGTGATCTTTGAAATTCTATAAACTACTTTTGTTCAGTTGACTTGTAAGTCAGGATGAAATGAAAATTTCATATACTGATTGAATTTTCGTAGGGCACAGAAATTTCTGTATTGGTGAGTCAGGACCCAGAGTTCTGAGGTTTCAGTAGTGCTCAGAAACCAAAGCAGCAATAGAAAAGAAGGCTTAATAATCATCAGACCTTCCTTTACCTTGAATTACTTAAGTAGGAGTGTTTTATTAGCATTTTCTAGATGATAGAGTCAAATATATTTAATTTTTATAGTGGAGTTATTACTAGGATTGTGTGTATGGTTTATTTAGTTTTTTAATAGTAAAATAGAATAATGAACCTTTGACCTTTGTTCCCATGGTGTTACCCTGGTGTACTTGTAGCCAAGCTTCCACAGTTATGGTCAATCTTGTTTAATTTATACACTATCCTTCTGAATTATTTTAAAGCATATCCCAGCCATCACATTTCATATATTCTGTAAAAGAAAAAAACAACCAAAACAAAATTATCACATCTAAAAATCATTTTAAACAATTCTAAAACTTTATTTTAAATAATACGGCACAGATAAGTATAGTAGTATTTCAGAGAAGGGAAGGATTTTTTAAATAAAAAGTAGAACTTGAGCTAGGCCCAGATGAATGGGTCTCATTTCAATAACTAAAAACAAAGTATCCAGAGTAGGGAAGCAACATGAATAGTGTTAGGAATTAAGGATGGATAGTCTTAGGAATTAAGGATAGAGTGTATATAGGGAGTTGCGACAAAGTGACCTGAAGAGTACATCGTTTGAGGTAGGAATAATGAGAAATGTGATAACTGGTATTGGTGTCTGTGGTTGAATTTACTGTGATTATTCTTTTTGACATTTTATTAGGGAAACTTGCAAATATGCAGGAAAGTTAAAATAATTACACCGTGAAGAGTTCTTATTCTATCACTACAGTTAACATTTTTCTGTAGTTGCTTTATCAATTATCTGTGGGATGGCCTCAATTTTATTATCTATTTGTCCAATTATTGTTAGAGAGGGAAAAGTATTCTTAGATTGTGTCATCATATTTGATGATTGGGAGCTTTTTGTGATCTGGTGAAACAAAATTGCACTGGAATATGTGCTCAGTAGATCCAAGGAATGGGCTGACTGGACTAAATGTAGATGGAATGTGGACTGACTGGACTGAATGAGATTTCCTTCTCATAAGGGGAATAAGGTTTTTAGCAACATTTGTAATCTGCTTGAACTGATTTAAAGAGCATGTTTTTGTGCATATTAGTTTTCTGAATATATAAGAATTTATTGGGTATTTTTGATAATCCACATTACTGCAGCTCCCAAATAAAGACATTTAGTGAGTCTGGCTGGGCTTATAAGCACAGGAAAAGATGAGAACAAGTACAAGAAAAACTCTTGGCAACCCATTGTGTTACGGAGTATAAACTCTCAATAGTGTTTTCTTGAAAGCAGACCTTTCTGTACCACTGCAGAGTTCAGACTGCCTACCTATAAAAGTAAAAATACATGGTGTTAATTCATATTTGGCTGAGACTCAGTCTAACTTCAGAATTAGTTAACTACCTAACAAAGTGTACTGCACAGCATTTTTGAAGGAAGTGGGCATTTTTCTCTGTCTGTAGGTGTACAGGAGGGATTCTAAGGAGAGCATAGACAAATTATGATAGGCAGTATTTTGGCCCCATGACTTTTGCTTCCCTGGTGGTACACCTGGTGTTATGTTACAGTGGCAAAAGGGTTTTACAGATAAAATTAAGGTAACTAAAACAGGGATATTATCCTGAGTGAGTCCAGTGTAATCACATGAAACTTTAAGAGCAGAAGAGGAAAACAGACTTAGAGAAGGACTTGACATGCTATTACTGTCTTCGAAGATAGAGGGACCACGTGGAAAGTATGTGATAGAAACAGCCAACAACCAGTGATCTTGGAAAGGGACCTGTATCCAGGCTTGATGTGCCAGGCTTTTGAGCTCCAGAAATTTGTTTAAAGCCACTCATTGGGGAAATTAAAATATATGATAGTGATAGAAAACTAAGACCAGAATACATAAAGTTTGCATTCTTGGACCTCTTAAGGATAGAGATTTGTGACTTGTTACAAGTGAATAGCAGAAAAGAGTTGGGCTTTGCATTTCTTTCATTGGTAGTATATGTCTAATAGTTCTGGAGTGCAGTACATCTGGGTTAAAGTCATTGCTGGCTGGCCCTTAATGTTGTGTGGCCTCAGGCAAGTGACTTAACCTCTTTTAGACCTCTCTATCTTTACCCCTAAAATGGAGATGTTAATAGTCTGTACCTCACATATTCTGATCATTAAAAATGATCAAAATGCTTAGCAGTACCTGGTGCCCAGATTACTCCAAGACATTCTTTAAAAGTACTGCATTTCCCTTTCCGCTTCCCAGTACACACTTTAAAGCCCAGCCTTTATTACCAGAGGCGCAGTAAGAACATAGGCAAATTAAACTCATTATTACAAACATTAAAACTTCCCTTGGGGTAATTCTTCAGAGGACAACTGCAGAAAGTACATGTTAACAGGAAGAATTGATGTTGATGGAATAACTACTCTCTGGCTGTTAAAATGTTGAAATGTAAATCCATGGCATTTGGGGAGATATATTTGGGTACCTTCTATGTCTACAAATTGGGAATACTGTCAGTATGTGTTTTCATGAAACATACAAAAAGCATACCAATTACTGATAATATGTGAACTAATAGAGGAAAAAAATATGCTATGTTAAAATAGA